TCTCTATTACATTCGCTCGTTCTTCTGTTCTGATGATCGTTTGTACCACATCCATTGCAATTCTACTGCCGTAAAGATAATCTACAGGCTAAGAAGAAGTCTGATAAGTAATTTTGGTTAATTTGTTCTTAATTTCTTAATTTTAATAGTTGAATCTAGCATAGAATTGTAAAAGTTTGTGTGGAATTTTGAGATTAATACTAAGTTTGAACTAATCTCACCACAAAAATGGCTTAATTTTATACCTAGGGTTTTTTTATTACAGTGTATTCAATTGTTGTAGATCTAGGATTTTTGTGTTCGATTTGTCTACCTAAAAGAATTGTAACTGTCTTTATATTTTATCTAAGTATTGCATATAGAAAAGATCATTGCATGCGTCTGAAAAAAGCTAAGTTCAATTAATATAGTGAATTTTGTTAGATTGGTTCACATTACCCTCCTGTAATGCAATATATATATATATATATATATATATATATATATATAGGCTTTGGATCCCATGAGGTCTCTATTAAAAATGAGATCATGAGATCTCATCATAGCCATTAATACATTCCCAAAGGATGGTTGAGATTGAATGACAAATATATAGTAATTAAGGATAGTTTTAAATTAGAAGGATAAAAAAGTAATTGGAGTATTATGTCTAATTTTGGATATAATTAACTTGATATCTTTACCTTAAGATTAGGTACTATATGAATGGAAATAAATAATACTAATTTGTTGTCAAAGCAGGTTTAGAGATACACTACGTTAGGAAGCTTGGAAAGGGAAAAGATCAGAGCTCACGTATGGATACAAGCAATATTGGTATGTGCATTTTAATTATTTGTTTATGTTATTTTGAACAACCCTGTGTGCGTGAATATGCTTAGGCATGTGCAAATGTTATGAATTGGGGTTATGTAAATTTCTGATTTTTTTTTCTAGAAATTATGGTGTCGGAAATTTTGTAAAGAACAACAGTATAAGAGTAGTATGTTTTTGTATTTTTTGAGCACATGTGTTGAATTTTCTGGTGGTCTGTGCGAGTTTGTACTAAGGCGTGTGCAAACTGTATTATAAGATTGCGGAAACATAAGGTACTATACTAATACGGTGGATTGTGCGAAATAGTGGTAGCACTCTGTGCGTTTATACGCTTAGGCGTGTGCAAATGTTACGGATGGGGGCTTTGCAATTGGTTTTTTCCCCAAAATTATTGTTAGGTGTGTGCGTGGAATCATGGTGTCAGAATGTTTGTAAAGAAAAATAGTATAAGAATAGTATGTTTTTGTTCGTTTTGAACACAAGAGTAGAAATTTTGGGTGGGGTGTGCGAGTTTGTACTAAAGCGTGTGCAAACCGTAGAGATTGGTGTGTCTCGATTTTTTTTTGGTTGTAACTATAAAAAAATATCTAGTGTGTGCACGGATTGACTTTTTGGATTGTTTGAATAGTACCTTAATAAAAATATAAACAAAAGACACCAATACCCCTAATTCCCAAATAAATAACATGCGCATGGCTTAATCAAAAAACGAATCTGAAGCGTTGAACAATATAAATAAACGACTGAGATCAAGCCTCACGATCTCACCTAACAATAAGGACTTCACCGGATCCAAAATCTATATATATATATATATATATATATATATATATATATATATATATATATATATATATATATATATATATACTATAATGGATAGTTGTTACAAATCTACTCATAAATACTGGCTGTTACAAATTAGGTCATTAAGCACCATAATAATGTCCATTATTAATATTTTATAACAAATATTAATATATTTTATTGGTATTACTTTATCATTGTTGATTCTTTCTTATTATAGTTTTATTTTATGATATAAAACTTTCTACTTGATACTTCACAGTTCACAAGATCTAAAACAGGTATGTATACAGTAGCTGTATTTTATTTTAAGTGTCCAAGTTTGACTTTATACTTTAGGTTACACTTTATTTATGATTTGTGTTTTCTTTGTGTTATTAATTTGTTTGATTTCTTAATGTGATATTGAAGAGTTCTTAAAATAAGATAATGATGTTTGCAAATAATATGGTAACAGTTTCCAACTAATAAGATAACCATTGAAATGAATCAAATGTTTTTTTTTTTTAAATTAACAATTGTATGCTTCCTTCCCATTTATTCAGAGTTCCTGCATTGCCGTGAGCTTTAACCTATAAACATGATAAAGGCCTAAAGAAAAACACAAACAAATAACATGAATATATATATATATATATATATATATATATATATATATATATATATATATATATATATAATTTTTTGTTCTTGTTGTATTTGGTTAAATTATCCAATAGAATCCCATAGGAAACTAAAATCAATACTTGATATATATGATATTGCCTTCCTATTGCCTACTATTGTTGTAGTTCTTTTCGACTTCACCATGAATATCAAATATCCTCTTCATGCTTGGAAATCCCAAAAAATATCAAAAATATTATATAAAAAATGTAAAGGATAGATACCTCTTCATCGTGAAACATGCATTCCTTACATTTTGATAGAATCAGTGCCCCTTCACATGCACGCACCAAGAAGATTTCAATGGTGAAATTTCATAAGCAAGAATATACATTGGAGCCATGGTGAATATAGGACATTCCGATCATATATGAATCAACGGGGACAAAAAGCAAAAATTCTTTTTAATTAGAAGCATGTAAACGTAATATACATTCATATTTACTTATTAATTTGTTGTTAATTAATTGTTAGCTAGATTACAAATAATATTTATTATATTTTCATTTGTTTTTCTAGTTGAGTATTTTACATATAACGACAATTAAAGTCTCAATCATATACCCAAGAATAACCTATGAATTTGTATGTAATAACTTCATTATATAACTCTTTAATTATTCATTCATATATCATCAGTAAATCTATTATAATCATGTTACCCATATGATTATCCAAATTGCATTAAGAATACTTAATTTGTTTTAATATGAAAATTACTAGGACATGATTTTAATTTAATTTTTTATCATAACTATCTAAAACAACACTTATCTTTACTACTAGTTTTATTATAGATTAAAATATACTCATTTGGATTATATTGAACATAATTAATTTTTATTTTGTATTGATTAACTTAAATATGTAAAAATTATATTAATTATTTACTTATTTAATTTATGTATTGAGCATTAGTTTTTATATCATATAAATATAAATTATATAAGTCAATATTTTGTATATTATTGTTAAACAAAAAGTATAAATTCTTTCAATTTTTTCTCTATATTTTTCAAATATGATAATTAAAACTTATCATTTTAAGAAATCTTGAAATATAATTTAAACTATTTTTTATATATATATAATATTTTAATATTGGGATGAATTTTTGAACATCACGTGTTTAAAATGCTAGTAAATTATAGGAATAAGGTTCAAATTGGCCACTGAACGTAACCTGAAAATGCAATTAGGCCATTGAACAAAAAAAAAAAAAGTGCAATTAGGCCACTGAACACTCCAAAAATGTGCAATTTCACCTGATAGCAGGTTACCCTCAATTTTAGCAGGTTATCTGCTTACGTGGCAACTGAGTTGGCATTTTTAATAAAATTTAAATCATTTTTAATAAATTTTAATAATAAATTTTTATTTAAAAAAATTTAAAAAAAATAAAAACGACTTTATTTTATTTTTTATTTAATTTTTTTCAATTTTTTATAAAATTTATTATTAAAATTAATTATTAAAAATTATTTAAAAATTATTAAAAATGTCAACTCAGCTGCCACGTAAGCAGGTAACCTGCTAAAATTGATGGTAACCTGCTATCCGGTGAAATTGCATACGTTTGGAGAGTCCAGTGGCCTAATTGCACGTTTTTGGAGTGTTCAGTGGCCTAATTGTACTTTTTGTTCGTTCAATGGCCTAATTGCATTTTCAGGTTACGTTCAGTGGCCAATTTGAACCTTATTCCTAAATTATATTAGAACAATATTGTTAAGGTTCTACTGTTCAAGTAGTATATACAATATGTTGTTGTAATCATGTACAATAATAAATTATACATTTTGATTTTTTTTTTTGGTTGTACAATGATAAAATATTTGTAAATTACTTTTTTTTATATAATTTTTTTCTTCTAATTATGTATAAATTTATATTATTATTCTTGACTGGACTTATTACAATATATTTTTTAACATTTTAATAATAATAATAATACATTATTATTATTATTATTATTATTATTATTATTATTATTATTATTATTATTATTATTATAACAATCAAATTAGTGTATACAAAAAATGAACTCATGACATTTCTTCTAATTTTTTACTTAAAAAGAATATTATTTTAACTCTTTTTTCCTTTGTGGTAAAAAATAAATTATAATAATATTACTTAATTTGATTTGTTTTTTGGTCATTGAAACATGTGAAATATATTATTTTTCAAATCATCGCCACTGAAAAATAAAATGTTATACAAGAAGCATCTTAAGAATGCGTTGTCTTTCTTTTTACTTAAATCAAATCTTTTTTCACTTCTCCTAAAAAAAATCATTTTTCACTGTGACAAAAATTTTAATTTTTTATTCCAAGACTATATTGCTTCAATTATAATATACATTTTATTACAAGTTCATCTATTATGTTATGGACAAAATTTCTCATCACTTAAGATTTTAATACAAATTTTATTATCTATTAAAAAATTAGTATAATATAATGTCAATGAAATGTGGTAAGAGGAGAGTTTAGATATAAGTACAATTAGGGTTTCAAACATATACCTAAGAGGACGTTTATTAGGTAGGAAAGTTTGAAGTTTCCTGAGAATTTAAAATGTGAAAATTTATTCCGAGTTTTTATGCAATATTTAACTTAGGAGAGTTTGTATCACATTCTATATATATATATATATATATAAATATTTCTGTTTTTAAATTTTTAATTCCTTTATTGTGTGTTCCTAACCAGTCGACACCCTGCTCCTCTTTAGCCTCTGTCTTCTCAACGTTACGCTTACAGCAGCCAGCTGCCATTTTTTCTTTTCCATTGCTTCCTCAGCTCCTGCCTCCACCGGCCACCGTCGTCCGGCTATTCTCCTCCGTGGCTCCGTCCGTTCACCATTAGAGATTTATAGCCTCAGGTAGTCAGGTTCGAACCAATCTTCATTGTTCTTCAACTTTATTCTCTTAATTAGTTTGCTCTAATGGCTAATTCCATAACAATGATGATTGATAAATCCCTAATTCCCTAAATTTGCAATTAGTTTGCCCTAACCTTTTTTTAATGTATTTTCGTGTTGTATTTGTATGTATATTCTCTCTGTAAGACTGTAACTCTGTGTTAGTGTATTCTGTAAGACCTGTTTGATATCCGTATGTATTATAACCAATTATTCATAACATTAGGGATTAGAAGAATAGCAGAATAGCTAAGTCTCAATCTGCTTCATGGTGAAGTGTGAACCGCCCATTTAGAGATGAGAAGTTTATCACAAAAAACAACCTTAGCTTGCTAGCTTGTTGTAAAAATTGAACTCCAGCCAGTAAATATATAAATATATTTGTGCAGTCCATTATGGCGGTCATTCATCCAAAAATGCAGGTCAAATTAAGCCACGACAAAGGATGAATTATCTAGAAGTGTTAGGTTGTATGTCAATTGTAAGATTATATATGTTTCTTTGTATATTGTCAAATTATAAACAGTATGTTACCTGCAGGGGTATGTTAACTATTAAGGCTGCTTCTTCAGACTGTCATTGTTGATAATGGTTAACAATTTTCTGAAAAATTGTAAGCTTTGCTGTTGAGGTTATGATATTTTGTGGTGCTATCTGCAGCACCACTTTTGCTTATTGAATCTTGATTATGTAAAGAAAAATATGATTTGTGTACTTTTTCAATCAAAACCTTAAAATTGTAACTCTGTCTGTGATACGAATTGAGTACGAAATTAGGATTCCAAAGTATTGTCTCTATTTGTATACATTTATTGCTATTTTGTTCATAAAAGCAAACAAAGATATGCTGCTTCGAATTTGAGTTCTTTTAATAAAGGAAGTGGGAATTTTTCTTGATGCGTTTTTGCAGATTTTGATGAATTTTATTGGCAATGTGAGTGTGTGACCGTGCAGGTAAAATCTTCATTTTTATTTTATTTTACTTTTTGATTTTTATCAAAGAATCAAGCAAATTTGCAAGCTATGTGTTGTGTTCTTTGAAAATAATCTTTCCAGATAAAATGAATAAACATTCATGTTCTTGATTACCTACTCTCTCCCAATCTTTTTGGTAATGGTTTACTCTTATTTATTAGAAGTGCTTTACTTGTCATTTAATTAACTTTTCAAAGTGCTTTATTAGTAGTTTTGTCTTTTATTTTTGTAGTATATCTTGTTAATTGATTGTGTAAAAAATATATAGCTTTCTCATTGAATTAAGAATACATCATTTTGTCAACTAGTGTTAAAGATTAGAGATTGTCTAGTATTTTATTTCCATAAATTATGCGTTGCTTATGTTTATCAGTTTATTTGTTTGCTGGAAAATTCTATATTTACTTGTTTAGATTATATTTTCTTTTGGTTCAATTATGGAAAAATTCTTCAAAAGAAAATCAACTTTTGTATTTGAACATTTTTGAATTCATTTTTACCTTTGCACAGCTTATTCGCCCTACTCGAAGGAAATTATGGCTCCCTCCCTCACATAAGTACATTTTTACACGTAAGTTTCATTACATATCTTTAATCAGTCTTTAACAATATTAGTAAGCATATTACATTTATAAACATGTCATTTTTAATAAAAATAAGTTAAACTTTAAAACTTATCAATGATCATCAAAATCTAAAAACATAATGTTTCAATCCAGGTTATGCTTCTGATTTATGTCCTTTTTTTTTTTTTTTTTTTTTTCTGTTAATTTATTTTATACATTATGCTATAAAAGTTGTACTATACAATATTTTGGACAAAAATATTCCTACCTTTATAATTTCTGTTATCTTTTTCCATTATTATTACCATGCGCATGCATACACAATATCTTTTCTTAAATGTTCTTTAATGGTAATAATGTGTGTAGACATTATATATTGGATTAATATAAGAAATAAATTTAATTTCATTTAACTTTTAATTAAATATTATTATAATTATATTTAGTAATTTATCATATCTAAAATTCTTACTTTAATAATATTAATCATATCACAATTAGATAGAGACATTACAATAAAATTACTATAGTAATTATACAGAAGAATACAAATGATAATTTATTTTGTTCTCATAGTATTATACCTTTAGTGTGTGTGTGTGTGTGTGTGTGTATATATAGATTATCAAAAAAGTAATTGTAATAGTTGTAAAAGAATACAACGATTCATGTTCAGTTGTAATTATACTATTATTATGGTAATTATTAGATTAATTATCATAATAATTATTAGTCAATTATACTAATATTCATGTAATTATTAACTTAATTACCATAATAATTATTAGATTTTATGTAGTAATAACTTGGGAAGTAGTTTAGGCGAAGTTGTAAAAATAGGATTTTATTTTTATTAGTAGTATAATAGATTGTTACGACATAATTATTATTTTTACTTCTATTTAATGTGTCGTTAACGAGGCTTGACCTAACAGGTTTTTAGGACCGTCCCTGTTCTCACTTATTCTTGTCCTTTTTGTTTGGCATTATTCAAGCAGTAGCATTATGCATAATTTACTCGGGGAATTGAAGTGGAAAGAGGAGTAGCCATGGAGGCTCGATCGTGAGATTGCCATTTACGGAGATGAGCAAGAAATTGGCAACAGATGATACATATGGAATGTGAATGTTTCTCTGCACAGATGTTTAGCTCACCACGGTTCTCACCACGGTCCATTCAGACCCTTTACCCCACAACCAAAACTAGTTTGATAAAATGCCTCAACAAACCTGAAACCGTGCCAAATAGTTCAAAATTTAATGCTTCCTCTGGGTTTCAGACATTGCCCAGAAAATTACCTTCTGTGGATATTGAGGGTGTACCATTGGGGATTCTTGTTAAGCAAGGAGCTCAAGATATTAGTAAAGTTCGGAAGAGGGATCTTAAATGGTATTCTGAAATGTTCCGAGATTATGCGCAAACGAAAAATTTGAAAGAAGGAAAAGTGCTTCATGGGGAGCTGGTTAGAAATTTTATTGACCCAGATATGCATTTGTATGTTTCCTTGATTAATTTTTATGCAAAATCTGGGGATCTAAGTTCTGCACTCAAAGTGTTTGATCAAATGCCTGAGAGGGATGTTGTATCATGGACATCACTAATCTCAGGATTTCTACCTGAAGGGAATGGTAGTGAGAGTGTTAGATTGTTTTGTGAGATGAAGAGAGAAGGTGTGAAGCCTAATGGATTTACATTGGCGACAGTTTTGAAGGGTTGTTCTTTGTGCTGCAATTTAGAGTTTGGGAAGCAGTTGCATGCTGAGGTAGTAAAATCTGACACCTTTTCTGATGTTTATATTGGTTCTGCGCTTATTGATCTCTATGCTAAATGCCATAAGATGGCGGATGCAAAAACAGTATTTCTTCATATGTCTGAGCAGAATTTAGTATCTTGGAATGCCTTGCTTAATGGGTATGCACAAGAAGGTGAATGGCAAGAGGTCTTAAGATTATTTTGTAGTTTGTCTGAGTCAGAATTTAGATTTAGCAATTATACTTTAAGTACTGTTTTAAAGAGTTGTGCTAATGTGGGTAACTTGAGAGTTGGCCAAGTTCTTCATTCGGTGGCAATCAAGATTGGAAGTGAACTTGATAATTATATAAGCTCTAGTCTAGTGGATATGTATTCCAAGTTTAGATTGCCTGAGGATTCTATGAAGGTATTTAAGAGAATCAGAAGTCCTGATGTTGTTGCATGGAGTACAATGATTAATGGCCTTGATCAACAGGGACATAAAAAAGAAGCATTTCAGCTGTTTCAACTGATGAGGCATTCAGATGTGAGGCCTAACCAATTCACTCTTGCAAGTGTTATTAGTGCTGCAGCTTATTTAGGTGATTTACTTTTTTGCAAAAGCATCCATGCTTGTGTTTACAAGTTTGGGTTTGATTCTGAGAATGTGGTTAACAACACGCTTATCTCAATGTACATGAACTTTGGGTCATTTAGTGATGGTTACAAGGTTTTTGTTTCCATGGATTCAAGGGATGTGATTTCTTGGAATGGACTTTTATCTGGATTCCATGACAATGAAACATCTCATGAAGGGCCTAAAATCTTCAGACAGATGCTTATTGAAGGTTTCAAGCCAAATATGTACACATTTATCAGCATTCTAAGGGCTTGTTCCAGTTTGTCAAATGTTAGTCTTGGGAAGCAAGTACATGCTCATGTAGTCAAAGAAAACTTGAGCTCTGATTGTTATGTTGGAACTACTCTTATTGACATGTATTCTAAATGTGGGTGCCTAAATGATGTCGAAGTTATTTTCAATAGGTTGACTCAAAAAGATGTGTTCACATGGACAGTGATGACTGCGGGCTATGCACAGAGTGATCAGGGAGAAAAAGCCTTTGAATGTTTAAGTCAGATGTTAAAGGAAGGTGTCAAGCCAAATGAATTCACTCTTGCAAGTTGTGTGAATGGCACTTCACGTATAGCAAGCCTTAGTAATGGAAGGCAGTTGCATTGCTTAGCAGTTAAATCTGGGCAGTTTAGTGATTTGTTTGTGGCCAGTGCATTAGCTGATATGTATGGTAAATGTGGATGCGTTGCTGATGCTGAAACTCTGTTTGAGGGCATGGATTCTTGTGATACTGTTTTATGGAACACAATGATATTTTCATACTCCCAGCACGGACAGGGCAAAAAGGCTTTGCAAGCTTTTAGAAGGATGTTGAATGAAGGTACTTTGCCAGATGTGATTACTTTTATTGGTGTCCTTTCTGCATGTAGCCACATGGGCTTAGTTGATGAAGGGAGAAGATATTTTGAGTCAATAAACAACACATATGGAATCATTCCTTCCATTGAGCACTATGCTTGTATGGTTGATATCCTTGGTCGAGCAGGCAAATTTGATGAGGTGAAAAACTTCATTGAACATATGGAGCTTACTCCAAATGCATTAATCTGGGAGACTGTTCTTGGTGCTTGTACGATTCATGGAAACATTGAATTGGCTGAGAAAGCTGCAAAATTTCTATTTGAATTTGAACCTAAAGTGGAGTCAAGTTACATACTGCTGTCCAATATATATGCTGCCAAAGGGATGTGGAATGATGTTGCAAAGTTGAGAGCATTTATGTCTGACCAGGGCATTAAAAAGGAACCTGGTTGTAGCTGGGTTGAGGTCAATGCTCAAATCCATGTCTTTTTGTCTCAGGATGCTTCACATCCAAGATTAACTGATATCCACAAAAAACTGGATGAGCTGTATTTACAACTTAATTCAGCAGGCTATATTCCAAACAAGGATTATTCACTTCGTAATGTAACAGATCAGGAAAAAAGAGCAAACCTCCTACATCACAGTGAAAGGCTGGCTCTAGCTTTTGCACTCTTAAATGACAATACTAACAATACCATAAGAATCTTCAAAAATCTACGCATTTGTGGAGATTGCCATAAATTTATGAAGCTCTTGTCAGGCATAACACATCGAGAAATAGTCATTCGTGATGTTACTCACTTCCACCATTTTTGTGATGGCACATGCTCTTGTAATGATTATTGGTGACTTGATCTTGACCAATGATCCATCCCACGCAAGAATATCAGAATCAGCAAAGGTTTTGAACCAGCAAACTTTGTAAACTGCAGTTTTGGCTTTTACTGCAATGCCTCTAGCTTCACCCTGTGCGTATCCGAAAAGGTTAGCCTTCTGAACAATAGATACAGCTGCAATAGAAGCAACATACCTTGGTATCTCTGGGTGATAACTGATAACGTTTCCGCCGATTCTTCATCTTCTATTTGCTGCTGCTTATAACTTAACTGTTTCCCCTTGTTTTCTGCACTTGTACTGGCAACAGCAGAAACTAAGTCCTATTTTGTTTTTCTTACTATTCTAAATTGTGGTGTCTCTTTCTTCTGGTTTGGGGCCTGGGGGATGGGAGGATGGCTAACTTATGCCAACAAGTGAGCCCACAAGCTAAAATCTTATTATAATTGTTGTTATTATGCTTAAAAGTTCCAATAGATAGTTATTATCAGAAATTTTGAAAGCACTTGACACTATCCAGAAGTGAATCAGTCTGAAAGCTTATGTTTTAGTTGAGCCATAAACATAATTTATCTTAGTAATATGAAGTTTATATATTTTCTTTGCATTTTTCAGTTAAAGGAGCTTGAGAAGTTGGGTCCTAAGAAAGGTGTGATTAGCCGGTCTGTAAAAGATGTTGTCCAAAGTTTGGTGGATGATGACCTTGTTTCAAAAGGCAAGATAGGGACTTCTGTGAGTAATTTTCCAGATTTGTGTTATTACAATTTATTTATTATATTTTGTGCTGTTAAGCACAAAATTTCCTTTGTATGTACTATGCACTTCATTATTTTGTGTTTAGGATGTTACAAGAGGTGGTTTTTTTTATTACTGATGGAATTGAATTTAGTCGCATTATTTGTGAGTTATTTGTTTCCAATTATATAGAGGTTATTTGTGGTTTGTTGTTATGATCGAGGTTGTTCATTGTTATATCTGATTGAGCATTTTGCATATCTATTGTGTTATACTGCCATTTTGAGATTTTTTTTTTTTTTTTAAAAAGAGGATGTAACAATGTTTATAAATTTTCAGGTATATTTTTGGAGCCTTCCTAGCTGTGCTGGGAACCAGGTGACCATACTTTACATGTTATGTAGAATATATTTTGTGGAAACTACTTTTATTGTGACAATTTAATCCATGATACCTGTTTGACAGCTAAGAAATGTGTATAAGAAGCTTGAGGCTGATCTCCAAACCAGTAAAAAGCGGCATGTGGAACTTGTCAAGAAACCAGGTGACTTAAAAAAGTTTTCAAGAAACAGCAACAAACATGATTAGGATTTAGGATTTGATTAAAATTCCTCTCAAAGCTTGATCTGTTACTACTAGCTGTTTTCTTGTTGAAGTATTGTAGAAATCAAGAATGCAAAATTGCACATTACAATTTCTCAGTGTAAATTGTTAATAATGTTCTGGTTCACGATTATTATCACTTACTCCTTTCTACACTATTGCTTATTGCAGGACAAAATTTGATGAAACACCGTTCTGAATACAAGGATGCCTTTGTTGAAAATCATGGAGTAAAACTAGGACTTATGTCTGGGTTTATCAAGGTGTGTGTGGATAAGAATTTGATTCTTAAATATTTGACAATTTTTCAGTTCCAGTCCTATGACTAAATGCATTTTTGCACTAATTTCAGGCTGCAGTTAGTGCACTCCAGAATATCCAATGGCGGTGTCTATGGAAGTCTTCTGTGTACCCCCGATTATTAATCCCCCTCAGGTACCTTCATCTTCACTATTCAGTAACGCATTTGTACATTCAACTATTAGACCATTAACACCCTTATTATGCCTTATTGTAGTCTGTCATCCTGGGTATGCACACAATAGTGAACCGCCCAATGGTTGTCGGAGGCAACATTGTCCCCAGGCCAATCATGTACATTGCCCTAACATACGATCATTGGCTGATCGATGGAAATGGAAGAGAGGCAGTGTACTCTTTGAGAAGGATTAAGGATGTGGTTGAAGATCCATGGCGCCTGCTCCTAGATATATGATTGCATACTTCTGATGTTTCGTCTCTTACACGTGTTATATCTGAGTTAATACACTCAAACTTGCACAAAGCAGGAATAAACCTAATGATGCGAAAGTTTTGTAGGATAACATTGTTGGCTGCTCTGAAAATTTACAGTTGGCTGCTAAAACAAAGCTTACTCAGAGTGAGAGCCTTTTTAAAAATTTTAATTGCCATTGTTTTCCTGGCAATCAAATTTGAACTGTATTTTTATTAATTTGTGATTTCTGCGTACATTCATTCTTGGTATAAGATTTGATTATATAAGATATCATGGTTTCATTGGTTTTTTTTTTTTTTTTTTTTTTTTTTTTAATGCAATGATGAAAATATTTTTATACTTGTTCCAAGAATGCAATTGGTAGTGTCCTTGGGGCTATAAGATGTATGGAGGTAAAAGTTGCAGGAGTAAGAAAGAAAAGGGGAGCAAAACACAGTTTGAAAGGGAGAAACAACAAAAGTGAAGGGAGAAAATGATATTAATTTCACCAAGTATATTGTATTGTATTACATCATCCCACTAATTTTTAAATACCAAAACATGAAAGGAATAAGGGTCAAATAGGTCATCGAAAACGAAGAGTTCATTTCCATGACTGGAGATGAAGAAAGTTTCTTCGCTTCGTCTCAGGGGGAGACGTGTTTTATATATATATATATATATATATATATATATATATATATATATATATATATATATATATATATAGGGATCATGTGCATTTGTTGCTTCCTGTGCGGTGGATTAATGTGCATGAGGTTTATACTTAATGTGCGTGAGTGTTGTGCTTAATGTGCCTGAGATTTGTACTTAATGTGTGATGTTAATATGCGTGAGTTTTGTACTTAATGTGCCTGAGTATTGTGCTTAATATGCGTGAGATTTGTGCTTAATGTGCGTGAGTAGTTCAGAATTACGATCTCAGAAAGAAGTAGAACAGAAAACTCACGCACATTAACGCCCAAGCTTCTTGTTACTTCTTCCTTCAATTTGTCCATGGATTCTGGATTATCAGCTACCTTCAGTACAGTTAAATGTTTATATATATGACTCACGCACAGCAAAATTTGCACACTAGCTAAATGTGAATTTCTGTTGTATTATCATCATAATTCTTAATCACCATAGCTCGCCTCTGCATCATCATCATCAGGGAAGGGGACAATGGCTACTGGGGATGGGGAAGAAGCTGATATCCATATTTTCTGCTGCATTTTACACATTCACGCACATTAAGTACAAATCTCAGGCACATTAGACACAACACTCACGCACATTGAGTACAAATCTCACGCACATTAATCAATTGCACAATCGCACGGGAAGCATTCACCCGCACGGGAACCTTTCACTATATATATATATATATATATATATATATATATATATATATATATATATATATATATATATATATATATATATATATATATATATATATATATATATTTATTTATTTATTTATTTATTTTTAATTATAATAATTATTTAATGTTGATACTGCTAATTCTACGTAAGCAATATAAAATATCACGAGACCAATTAAAGCAAGTAAAATCTTTATTGATCACGGTAAAGGCCCTAAGTACAATCTACTTGGCTGCTCTGAGTACCGACTGAGTGCGGTCGGGATTCTCTAGTAACAACCTATCGATCGTCCAAAAGTCCCTTACACTGTAGCTACTGTGGGTATTTATAGCCGCTATGCCGGGGACAGGATTCCCGCCGTTCGGCATGTCCTCCACGTAGCCACCACGTGTCATCCTCCCGGGTGCCCTGCCTGTCGATGTAAAGAGCCGCCACGTGTCCTTCGTCAGCTCTTCCGCCAAAGGGCTACCGCTCGGTGGTCGACACCGTCGCTCGGGCAACTCCGGTCGGTCTACGACCGGGTTCTTCTCGTGGGGCCCGACCTGTTACCTGCAAAGACAAGGAGAAAGAGACAAAAGGCTCCTCGGTCGTGGTGAAGCTATGTCGGTCGGGATATTCCCTACCAAGAGCCCCCCAGCCCGGGCCTTTTTGATCAGTCGGGAAAAAACGGGACGGGATGAAGAAGCCCAACCGTCAGGCATTAGACCGACCGGCCAGCTGTCATTCCCTCCTACGCCACGTGTCGGCCTCTGCCGGCCTCGGCGATCCCATCCGTCGCCTCGGATTCAGCGCGGGTCGTGTCAGGCAAGTTGGCCCATTTCCCGCCTAAATGCCCTCCTATAAATAGGCCCTTGAGGCCCTCATTTGAACTTTCCTCACTCTTTTGCTTCAGTCGGTATCCTCTAAGAATCCCGAGCAGAGCATCTCAGCAAGGCGATCAAGCAACAAATTTCAAGCTTTCTCTCGCAAAGTTCCTTCATCCGGTAAGCTCTCCCTCCTTCTCTTTACTTCACGCTTTCAACTATAGGTAGAACTGCTAGGTCAACTAACTGTCCCGGACGACTCAAGTCCTTTACTAACCCCGACCGACCGTTAGGTAGATCGAAATGACGGACTCGGACAGCCAAAACGCCTCGATCGCGGATTACGATGAGGAGGTCGAGCGTATCAGCGACGAGGAAGTGGACATTATGTCCTACACTCCCGAAGCCAGCCCCCGAGCAACGCCAGCCCCTGATCGAGCTGTCGAGCATAACAGCGCATCAAGCTCTTCCGGGACATCGAGCTCTAGCTCCAGCGGATCGGGGAGCTCCAGCGAAGAAGAGGAAGGGAGAACCACGTCAAGCGGGCGGGGTTCTCCGACTGAGGGCGTTAGGGAAACGCCTACCCGGGTGGTTGGGGACCACCCGGAAGCTGCTCCTCGAGGGGGTGATCGAGAAAATACCCCCGAGCAGACCGAAGAAGACCCGGCCGGGCCGGCCACACCAGCCGTCGAGCTCGAATTCTTGAACAGCGAGAGTGTCGAGCAAGAGATGAGCCTGCTGACCAAAGGCGAAGCGGCTCGGATTGCTGAAATACTCCGGGGCCGGGTAGAATTCGACACGAGCCGGCAGCTGGGGAACGTGATTGACAGGCATCGGGGCAAGTGGATCGGGATGCATTACGACTCCCTAATGGCCCCGATTGCCATTCCCTTCCCGGCCCTCTTGACGGCCTTTCTAGCGTACTACCGGGTCGTTCCGGCTCAAATCTGCCCGAACGCACATCGGATCCTCGCCTGCTTCCCGCAGATATGCACTCGGCACGAGGCCGAGTGCACGATGGAGTTGTTCAACTTCATCTACCAGATCAAGGTTCTCCCGGGCCGCTACGGGGGTGGGTTCCTGATGCTGCAATCCCGAGCAGATATGTGCTCCATCAAAGGCCTGCCCGGGAACAACAAGGGGTGGAAGAACAGAATTTTCTCCATCAAATACGACCCCTGGATCCTCCCGGTCGATCGCACTTGGAGCAGCCACTTCAGAAAGCAAGTGGTGCCGGCCGCGACTCAGGCGCTCAAGGAGACGGTCACTCGGATCTCGAGTGAAATACACGAGTACTCCATCTTCCGGACAGCCGAGAGTCTCGCAGCCGCCAAGCTCCCGCCCCCCACGTACGAGCTAAAGGAGAAGTACCTTCCCGTACCGATGGGCGTGACGGTCGCCAAGCCGTCGAAACGGAAGAAGAAAGGTTTATCTCGAGCTGTTCCTCCCGACCTAGCTTCATTTCTTGATCAAACTAACTTAACTCTTTTTATTGCAGCCATGACAGAATTTGGTGATGAAGACACCGCCCTTCCCCCGCCCGCCAAGATCTCCCTCGGCGGGAAGAAGAAGACAAAGACCAAGGCGGCCGGGGAAAAGGAGATTCCCACTGCCCGACCCCTGAGCGCCTCGACCGTGACGACGGGTGAGGGCTTCGTCGTCGAGCAGCCTGACGTCTTGGTCACCCGGGTAGAGGTCGCCCGGGGCAAGGAGAAGGTCGCCGACCAGGGCGCGATCGAGGTGGGCAGCCTGAAGCGCCGCCGTGAGCAGCACAGCCCGAGCCCTCCGGTCGGGCGAGAGAGGGAGTCTACGTCCGTGCTGGCACGGATCGGCAACGCCGCGCCAACCCGAGTGGATCTGGGGAAGATGACCCCGACCCAGGTGGCTGAACGGATCGGCCACGACCTGGCTGAGGTGAGCTTTTCTCAACTAACAGCTTTCTTGCTAATGTACTTTGATCGGGCTAACCCTGGATATCCTTTTGTACTGCAGATCTCCCGGGCGACCCAGCTCCTTCAAGGTCAGGCTATGCTGGCCGAGGAAGCTGATCATCATAAGAAGACGGCCGCTCGTCGTCTGAAGGAGATCAAGGAGCTCCAGGCCGAGCTGGAGAAGGCGCAAAAGGCCCTGAAGAAGGGCGACGAGGAGCGGGTCCTCGCCGAGAAGGTCGCCAGTCGGGCGATTGGAGAGGCCAAGGAGCTGAAGGCTCAGCTCGAGAATCCGAGCGAGCTGGCGCGGGCAGCCTTCAAAGACAAGGACTCGGGCTCGGCCTTCCTTACAGCAGCCCGGGGAACAGAGATCGGGGAAGAGCTAATCGTCTCATTCGGTCGCTGGGGCTTTACGGCCGGGAAACGGAAGATGCTCGAACGAGTCCGTTCCCGGTTGGAGCAGGCCCTAGACGGGGAAGACCTTCAGCTGGTCCTCTCGGTACTACCCCCAGACCTAGCCGATCCCGGTCCCTCTCCCTTCGCCCCAAAAGCCAAGGCGTCTGAAGCCGGGGCATCAACGGCGGCCACCCCGAGCGGAAAGGAACCGGCTGCCGGAGCTCGGGAGATGAAGAAGTAGAATAGGCTCCTTTCTTCTTCTTCTTTTTTGTAAAGGACCATTGATCGGGAGCCCGGTCCCGAATTGTACCGGGCAACTTTTTGTTTGTTAATAAAATTTATTTTTGCTCTAACTCGTGTTATTCGTTCTTTCTTTTCGCACTTTTATCTTCAATCGCGTAAGTGCTGATCCTTAATGCTCGACCTCGCGGCCTTGTGGCCCGATCTTGCGCTGGTTCGACCCACTCGACGCCCGACCTTACGA